GGGGACATTGTCACCTTCCTGGGGACATCACCAACCTCCTGGGGACAGCTCTACCTTTCGGGGGACATTGTCACCTTCCTGGGGACATCACCAACTCCCTGGGGACAGTTCTGCCTTTCCAGGGACCTTGTCACCTTCCTGGGGACATCAACAACCTCCTGGGGAGAGCTCTGCCTTTCCAGGGACATTGTCACCTTCCCGGGGACATCACCGCCTTCCCGGGCACAGTTTTGCCTTTCGGGGGACAGCTGCAGCTCTGCGGGGAGGGTGCCACCTTCCTGGGGACATCAGCACCTTGCAGGGCGCGCTGCCGCCTTCTCGGGGCCACCGTCCCCGTCCCGGGGGACTCCGCCACCCCCCCGGGAGCCGCCCCCGCCGGGGTTACCTGTGAGGGCGCCGTCCCCGGGGCCCGCGGCGTCCGGGCGGGCCGGCTCCGGGGGCGCGGGGGCGGCCGGGGGCGGCTGCGGCGGGGGGGGCAGCGCGGGGCGCGGCCGCGCCTTGGGGGCGGCCCGGGCGCGGGGGGCGGCGGCGGCGGGGGACGGCAGCGGCGGGGGCGGCGCGGCCGCGGGGGCGGCTCCGGGGGGCCCGTACGGGGACGGGGTGCTGGGGGGCGTCGGGGACAGGCTGGCCGGGGACGGCTGCCCCTCCCGGGGCGGGATGGGCGCCAGCTTCCTGCTCCCTGCGGGACAGAGAGCCACAGCGGCAGCGGGGTCAGCGCCGGCCGCCCCGGGACCCCCGCCCCGCCCGCTCCTACCTGTGCGCAGCGAGTGCGGGCTCCGCTCGGCCGCGGGGGGCGGCTCCGGGGCCTTGAACGTGCTGGGCGGGCACGGGGCACGGAACGGGCACGGGAGAGCCAGCGGGCAGGGAAGGGAAAGGGAGAGGAGACGGGGAAGGAAAGGGGGAAGGAAAGGAAAAGAAAACACCTCGCAAAACGGGAAAAGGGAAGGAGGAAAAGGGAAGGAAAAGGGGAGGAAAGAAATGGAAGGAAAAAGAAGAAAGGGGAAAAAAGCCACAAAATAGAAAAGGGAAAGGGAAAGGGAAAGGGAAAGGGAAAGGGAAAGGGAAAGGGAAAGGGAAAGGGAAAGGGAAAGGGAAAGGAAAGGAAAGGAAAGGAAAGGAAAGGAAAGGAAA